AGACCCGGTGCCGTTAGTACTTAAAGAGATTAATGGTTGTGGCAGCCCATTAGTCCCCAAAAGGACGAACCACACACCCTTTTAACACCCTTTTGCTTTAGAGTGGCGGGAAATCCATGCTGCCACCACAAGGGCAATTCATACCACGCCGAAAACACCGGCGATAGACAGCCATCTTTCTCACCTCTGGGATTCTCGCAGAAGCCTCACCAAACGCTGGAAACAGCAGTAGCACAATCGTAAACTTAGACGCCGAATGCAGGCAGAAGAGGCTGACACATATGGGAAAGAGCTAATTGCCCACAACGGGCGCAGCTTCAGTGACTCTCTCAGAGGAACTTTAAAAACAAAAAACATAGGCGATAATTTGCTGCATGTTAGACCCAACAAAGACATGCACCAAGACAGCTAACGTCATGCGATGACTTATAGGGGAATACCAAGGCTCGGAGAAGGAATTTATCAAACACATGAAAAACCTCTACAACGGAAAAAAAGCAGACAACCTCACCCATTGTACAAGAATATCAGGGACAGGAGAACTCAAGCCCCGAGCACAATGCCCGAGCTCTACGCAGCAGCACAGACTTTCACGAAGAACACAGCAACCAGAGTGGTTCAAGCCACAAACGCTATGCTACGCAATCTCAGTTAAGCTGCACTGAAACAGCTAGTTGATTTTCCCAGTAATACTGTGTGGAAAGATGGTGGAAGACTACCATCTGAATGGAAGGCGGCCAATTATGTGCTGATACCGAAACCAGTAAAAACGCCTGAGCTCATTCATTTGAGACCCTTATCGCTCACGCCGTGCATGGGCGAGCTTTTTGAGCGCGTATTACTAACCCGACTTGAATATAACTTAGGAGAAAACAACGACCTTCCTGACTGTATGTTCGGTTTCCACAAAGGAATCTCTGCACAAGACGTGTTCCTTCTGCTGAGAGATGTGCTCAGCCTTCCACCAGGCAGCATGGATAGAATCGTACTCTCACTCGACGTCCAAAAAGCCTTCGATAACATCTCCCACACCGCAATACTAAGTGACTACGTGACGTTGGTTATAAGGAGAGGGTTTTTCGCGAAGTTCAAGATTTCTCGCGTAACCACGCGGCGCAAATAGGCGCATCATCTACTTCATACAGGAACGCCTCAAGGATCTATATTGTCACCAATGCTCTTCAGCATCGGGCTACGTAAAATGGCCCTATACTTGCAGAAGGACCAAGACATTGGGGGCGCCTTATATGCAGATGATATTACGCTCTGGGCATCCAATGGATAGTATGGCAACCCAGAAGATACACTTCAATGAGCCATCAACACACTTGAAAGGTACATGAAGCAAGCAGGTATGAAGTGTGCTCCAGCCAAGTCGGCATACATTCACATCAGACCCCGGCATATGCGCACAGCCAGGGCTCAGAAGCAGCAGCTCGCCTTAGAAGGAGAGCCAATCAATCGGTTACCCCACCTGCGCGTACTTGGTATGTGCATACAGAAAACAGGCAGCGTCAGCATAGCGCCCTATAATCTCAGACGCACGGGCCGGAGCCTAACGGGGCTTATTCGCAGAGTTACCCGTAGCAGAGACGGCATGGCTAAAGCAGACACCATGCGATGAGTACACGTTTTTGTCATTAGCCGCATTTCATATGTCCTGCCTTTCCAGACTGCGCAAACGTCATAAAACCAAAGAACTAGACAGGTTCATCAGAATCGCCTGTAAAGTAGCGCTCGACTTGCCTGAGAATACAAGCACACCCCGACAGCATTAAGTGGGCATGGCAAATGCGTATGAGGAATATGCAGTGGCTACGCTGATGGCTAAGCGCGAGCAACTTAGCAGGACTGCTCAGGGCCGTTCGGTCTTACAGAAATCGCACTAACCACTCTCGCCACAATTCGGCGGTGATCAGAGTACGATACTGCCATCTGAAATCTACGTGGTTCCGATCCTTCATCTTATGCACCCAGTCCATCCCGTGACATGGAGATGCGCCCGCGTGGCCAACTTCTAAAAGCGGTGGTACGATCCTAATGCATACTTTACAGACCTGACTCCCTACCATCTAAACGCGAATATGGTTCCCGCTTTCACAGCTGTTGCGACTAACCAACGGCGAACAACCACTGCAGTGTCCATTCACACGCGATCAATTGCAGCGGCCGAAGCCGCGGCCATAGCTTTTGCCATACGCGCTGCGTAGGCCAAAGGTGAATCCCCCCCCCCCCCCCCCCCGCCGCTGTTTGGCTCGAGGCATTACAGACTCCAGGAGGACACTTCGACACCTGGCATTCCAAGAGAAATCCTCAAATTTCAAAGATAGGTAGGTGAGCTCAAGTTCCCCATTGTCCTGTAACCTTAACACGAGACTTCACAGGACTGGCGTCACCTGCAAACACTATCCGCATTTACACAGGTTACACAGAATGTACCCTCACGGATAAAGTGACACGTGTCCTTGGTGCGAAGCAACACCAAAATTGGAGCACAATACATATCAGTGCATACAACGTCTGGAAGCTGCCATCTTGCCTTTGTTAAATAGCACGTCCCTAAATTGGCCGTAGGAGAGGCGGCTTGCGGATCCAGAAATGGGAAGCCAACTGGAGGACCATGAGCAGGCCCGGCAAGCCACTGTATCCAGCGGGGCCTTGGAAGATAAGCACCACCCAACATAATCATACAAACTAGGCTTATTATGGTTACGAGTGATTGTGTTTATTTACAGGTGAGGTGAAATGGTGTTGGGAAAGAGCAGCGTACTTCTGAGACAGGTCTAGTCTGGTTCACCCAACCGCAGTTGTTTTGTCTTGTCGCCTAGAAAATCCTGCCTCATACTGACAAGGGTGATTGGCCACACTGTACCCTATAATGAAATTTTTTTATACAACGCTTGCTAAAAAAGAGAGAAATTATATAAGAACAATATTAATGTTCCTTTGAAGAAACGTGAAAACTGCAGAAGGATTCCACGAACCAGAATATATAAAACAAATTAGCAAGAATGAAGAAGGGAGACAAATAATTGAATATATCTGGCAGTACTACTAGCAGCGTATCCTTTCAGGTGCCTGAATGAATTTGTGTAGCGCTGACAAAATACCACTGCGGTCCGCACCCAACTGACTGGCTCCAAACGATAAAAGGGTGGATGTATTAATTGGCAATCCGAGCATACCAATTGGTCTCTCAACAATTATTCGGCGCTGTGAGGCGAAGCGGCGGCATGTGAGAAGAAAGTGATCTACTGTTTCCGGTTCATTGCAAACTGCACATATGTTATATAATAAAAATCCTGATTTGTGGAGATAAAAATTTAACCGAGGTACTCTACAGAGAAATCTCGTGAGGGTCACCTCACATTGACGGGAAAGGCATTTTGCGGTGTTCCATGTGAGTCGCAAGTGCCGAAATTCTTCAGATTATAGGAGCCATGTTTCCTGGATTTTCAAGATTAACAGGCGTTTGAATCGTTAGGCAATAATAAAAGGAAAGTGTGGAGCTACTAGTACCACCGGAAAATTTAAAGATGCTGAAGCGAGAGAGTCAGCAATTTCATTTAGTGCAATTCCAGCATACCCGGGGACCCAAATAAACCAAACTTCTGATAGGCTACGCGGTACAAAAGACCAAAATATTCTGAGGAGACTGCTTTGCGGACATTAGATGTGTATAAACAGACAAAGCGCCCCAAATATTTATAGCGTTTGATTGCTGAGAACTTAGTTTTCGAAGAGCCAATGTAATGGCCAGGAATTCTGTGAGATAAATTGGTGTGAAGTCAGGCAATCGGAGCGCAAAAGACCAATTAGGCTGGTGAGAAAAAATACCTACTCCAGCCTTCTGAAGATTTTGCGTTGCATTCATCAGAATTACTACGTAATTGGAAAAACGACTGAGATGGTCTTGAAGAAAGCCCTCCAGAAGATTCTTTGGAAGAAAATTGGCGTTTTTTGGGGGAAAATGTCATCAAAAAATTAAGTCAACTGGCACCGAGCATTGGGTTTAGGGAGTTAAATACTGGAGAGAAACGTGAAGATTTGATAACAGAGACTCGACGAAAATGGCTGGGAGTCTTTGATAACGACACCACGGGCGCTTAAAAAAATAAACTGGATATTTGATGAAAACTGTCTGTGAACAGCAGAAGGGCGCATCGCCGAGTTTTAAAAATGTTCGCACGGTAAGCTGTCGAAATCTAACATCAAGTGGAATGATTCGAGCTTCCAAACAAAGCACGCTACTCGCGACAAACCTAGGTAGCCCGAGACACAACCGCACAGCTTGCCTTTCTAGCAATATAAGAGGTCTTATTTTGTACTCAGCACTTCCGGAAAACAGAACCACACAGGCCAAGCGCCGGCTATACTACTCTTCTTGTCCCTTCGCGCCCCGTATGCTCACGCATCTTCGTTGCAATATAAATAAATGTTTTTTTTTTCTGCTGATTAGTAGAAAACGCCACCGGTTGGTAGCCGAAGCCCCTGGGAACACGCGACCCTAACGCTATAGCGCAGCACGCAGCTTTGAAAAGATGGAAACAAAAAAAAAAGAAATAAAGGAAGAAAGATCGTAGCACATTTGACACGCGCACATAAAGCTTCGCTTGACCCTATACGCGTAGTACGGGAACTAAAAAATTTTTTCAAGGTCATCAACGACATGATGGCCAAGAGTTTTTGAACTAAAAAATTTTTCAAGGTCATCAACGACATGATGGCCAAGAGTTTTTATCAGAATCCGTGGTGTCGTTGGCAGCAGAATATGGTTAAGTACTGCGGTGAGCTTTGGTCAAGTAGCTTTTTTCTATTTGTCTCTCCTAGTGGAAGCCTCGTAATATGTAACATTATGTGTTCTATGCGACCTGCTATTGGCCAGTTTGTAAAGACCTCACGATTTTTCATAAATTGTGGAAGTTTAAAATATTTGTTACTGATGAAGTCTTCTTTCTAGGCACATTGTATATATTCATTCAATAAATGAAATCAGGTTGTCCCATGTACGCACTATTACACCACATTTATTCTCGGAATTGGAGTGTGCCACTCTTTATCTTTCAAGCTGCATGAGCAACCACCTTCGGTATGCTCAAGACAGGTGACTTCTCTCGTCTTCAGAATTGCTGCAGCGGACTTCCATTCCACGCAAGGATTTCTTTTCCTTGGATCGCTGCGCTCGAATTCTTCACTGGCAACTCTCGTCGTAGATCTGGTAGGTGGTGTGGAATCCGCACAGTAGCTGGAAGGCAAACTCGCAGCACGGGTGAGGATTGCCCAGATCAGCTTCGGTCACCCACATGCTACAGCCTCTGCCTGTCGAGTGAATATTTATTAGAACACAAACAACAAACGTGGAATTAGTATAGATACTGCGAATTGCAATCGCACAAGTTTTGCTGAGACTGTAAATTGTTTGAAAAACGTTACCTACGCTAATCTCTAAAGCAGCGCACATGTTTTAACAAGACAGCATTAAAGTTTCCGTTTTGTAGAAATTCTGGTGCAGGTGTCATTGTAGGCGTCATAGGCCATGAACGAAAAATTGTCGTTGTTCATGAGTGGAACTTCGAGACACTTGTAAATAAAGAAAGAAAAAATCACCGATGGTACGATGTTGCCTAATGGGCAATACGTTGCCCACTGGCAATATTTGGTAATGGACAGTAGTGTTGAGGCAAGGCTAACTTTGTTTGAAGTCTTGCTTTTCCTGGAGATATTGATTACCCCATAAATAATAATATTTTTCAAATAGCACAGCACTCACTACGCCATTATTTGCATTTTTGTTTATAAGCCAAGTACCCGCTTCATATCTGTGAAGTATTGTATGCACTTTGTTGATGCTACGTATGGCTAATAATGATGAATAATTATCGCTAAGCACTTTTCAATGGGTGGGAAGCATTAAACCACGCACTCCTTTCGCAATTAGTGCTATGTAATGACTGCCTGTGAAGCCACGTTAACGCAGTTTCTTGCCAGATATGACGCTTTTATTGCGTCTTTTTTGCAAATGAGTTCACGAACACTAGCGTGAGGGGGGGGGAGATGAACAACAAGGGAGAAGGCAGGGAGGTTAACCAGGCTCATGCCCAGTCTGCTACCCTACGCCGGGAGAATGGGAAGGGGGGCATAACGATGAGAGAGAGAGAGAGGAAAGAGAAGAAAAATAGAGGGGAAAAAAAGAGGATTGTCAGTCAATCGGCTGGCGCGTATGCAGCGGTGGCACTACACAAAAGTTAAAGGTGGTCACGTAGGCCTGTAGTTCTCAAAACTCAGAAGACAGCTTTGACTGCTTTTTGAGCCGACGAAAGGCGAGGACGGTGTTCCAGTAGCATCTGCATATAGAGTGGCCGATCGTCTAATTGTCGCAATGCGTCCGAAAGCTGTCTTTCATAGGCAAATCGAGGGCAATGGCTTATCAGATGGTCGATGTCTTTTTTGGTTCAGCAGACGTCGCGTTCCGCCTTGTCGGTCAATCCGATGAGGGTTTTATATGGTTTTGTGAAGGCAACGCCCAACCAAAGGCCACAAAAAAGCGAAGCTTCACGTCGACGAAATCCGAATGGAGGTCGAAGTTTCAGTCGAGGGTTTATTTGGTAAAGTCTCGTATGTCTTATGCTTGGGGTGTTCCACTCCTGCAGACACAGGCTACGTGCCAGGTGACGAAGTTGCTTTGCAGCGTCAGTCCTTGACAAAGGGATCGGAAGGGTATGCTCTTCTTGGTGCGATGTGCGAGCCGCGTTGTCTGCGGAATCAATGCCACTGATCCCACAATGGCCAGGAAGCCACTGAAACTTGACCTCCTGGCCTGTTTCTGTGACGTGGTGAAGAAGCTTGACAACTTCGTAAGTTAACCGTTCATGGCAACCTCGTCTAAGGACTGACTGCATGCTCTGTAGGGCCGGTTTTGAATCGGGAACACAGCCCATTTACTCGGTCTCTGGGATTTGATGTACTCTAGGGCGCCACGCAAAGCAGCAAGATCTGCCGCCGTAGACGTGACGTGTGACAGCTTGATTCGCAGAGTGATTCTTCTAGCTGGAATCACCACCGCACCGCCAGAACCAGACGCTGTGGTTGAACCATCGGTGTATATGTGCACGTGGTTATTGTACATTTTGTGCGGAAGGTTCAAGCTCAATTGTTTTAGGGCTGACGAAGGCGAATTAGATTTTTTCTGTATTCCTGGAATTCTGGAATTGAAACACGTACTCGTAAAAGTGTCATGCAACACGGGGGATACACCATGGAGAAACAGTAACGTGGCTCTGTGGTAACCTATGGACTACCACGCAGAAAGTATGGGATTAAGTCCCATTCAAAGCTGGGCAATTTTCCTACTTGTATTTTTTATACGTATCGGTTACGTCACAGACGGCGACGGCGGTGCCGCTGAACGCAGGTGTGCACGACAGACAGTGCTATTTTGCATGCGATGCGGCACGGCAATCTGGCAGCCGGGGTGGTGACGATTCGTGACGTTCCATCGCATTGCACCGCCGCATCGCAAAGCCAGCGTTCATAAAACAAGGCAGATACTTTCGTCGTCACATAAGACCGTCGCGCGGCCACAGCCAATGACAGCTCGGAAGACGAGTGTCGCCATGCCGCTGATGGCGCCATCTTCCTGGTGCCATCTTCCAAGGCGAGTCGGTGGAGTCGAGCCTCGGAGCATGTGCCAACATCGCTGCTCACAGACGGCGTGATAACATCAAGTAAATTTCGCATGTGACGAGAAATAATTCTACATTGACTGAAGAAATGATTGAAGTCTGCCACTTATGCAAGACAATGCCCGTTCTGAAGCTACTAGCAAGATCGCGAGCAGTGATGCGAGGCCATATCGCCGGTTAACGCAGCGACACCTTCGTCTCGGCGAGCCGGCTCGCTTCGCTTCTACATTTGTCCTTCACATCGATGGCATCGAGAAATTTAATAGCGTATGCTAACGCATCATCACATACGAGTACAAAGGTTGACCGTGTTGCAAAAACAAGCGCTCGATCACTAACTCGTATGTGACCGGCGTAGGCGACGACCAGCGCCCGCCATGTTAGGCTTAACTGTCGGTATGCCTGTCAGAATCGTGAGTGATGGCTGCCTGCTGCGGCTGTTGCGACGTGTTTGTCGTTCACGAAGGTGTAGTTTTTTTTATTTCTTTGCTATAAAGAACGAAGCTTGGCTGTGGAAAACTGTTTATTTTGGGCTTCATTACGAGATTACGAAGTCTTCCGAATGTGCATGCAGACGCGCCGTATGGGGTTGGAGCCTGCCGCTGATTTCTCGTCCGCCTCATGTGTCTCGAAATGTCGTACGCCACATGCCGGGTCATCCAACGCCACACGTTGCATCGCATGGAAAATCGTGCCGTCTCGCGCTTACGAGTCGCACTCTAAAACGTTCTCCGGCAACTGTGATACTGCCTAATGTAAATTCTGAGCGCAGCTTCGTACTGGGGCATCCCCAACTGGGTTTGAAGTTTCGGCTATTCGAAGTTGTAGCAATGTAACATTCCCTACATGTTGCCAAAAAAAAAACCCTACTACTACTGCTCGAGTCCTGCGCGCGCCACGATGTGCGTTGCAGGCTCCACCAATGTCAGTGTCCAGCAAAGCTGTTACAAGTACCATACACGCTGATTGGAGAATCTGTTTGATTATTACTTTAGAGGAATGATATTGATAATCACTTTGTGGCCACTCGGACAGACCTCGAAGCCAGATGTAGGAGCAGCCTATAGTTGGTATTCCATAACGTGAAAACCTAAGCGCAAACGGCACACTGCGGACGAGGAAACGGAGCTTGCCATTGTCGCGCTTGTACTGTAGCGCTTGTCCTAATCGTTCCCTCGACCACTATGTACCTATCGCGCTTAAGTTTTAACACTGTGGTGCATTTTGATTGGTTCCGCGAGCCCTTTCAGCAAAAATAATTAGCCTTTAAAGTGATAGCGTTAAAGAGCTCGTTTCGCATAAATTCCCGCGTCTGCGTTGGTGTTGGCCTCGTTGGTTGTGAGCGAAAGATCATCATAATCCTATGCGGGACCGAAACATCGAGAACGATGCAAATAATGAATCCTGGATTGCAGTCGGGATTGAATCGGGTCTGTTTGCATTGCAAGCGGATGTTCTACCACGCCACCACGCGTCTGCTTCTTTTTCTTGGAAATAAAGTGAAAGTAACTTTCATGCTTTACGAACACACGCTTTCTGTACACAGGAAATATTGCAGCAATACCAAGACATAATGCAAATACACAGGATATATCGCAGCAATAAAGCATGGTACAAGCGTGCATTGACATGGGGTGTAAGCAGATGTGATTATTATAATGACTTTGTGGTTTGAAGCTGGTCACCCACTAAAAAAGGCACACACGTTACTGTGCCTACTTCCTTAAGGCTACGCATGGTGGGTGCATATCATGTTCAAAAAGATTTCAAGCACCAAGTGTTTGAAGTACGCAATAGGGGCATGATATTACTATAGCATTTCACTCTTGAAGAATTCCAGCACTTTTTTCATACATGCAGCATTGTATTCACGCTGTTACGCTGGTGTCCTTTATTTCGGTAGTCTACCCATAGCAGTTTCAGAAGGAACTGAATCATTTGCTTGACAAGTCTCCCTTTTACATATGAAAGCGAAAAACGCACGAGGGCAGCCCGAAGGGCCGCCTGATGTCATTCGAAGTGCTCGTGGGAAGTGCAAAGCAAATGCAACCTAACTTTTACCGGGAATGCGTTGAAGGATGTTCCCATTGTTCACAGGTGCCTAATCGTACGGCATGTGGTTTGTGGTTTTGATGAGTGTTGGGTAATTTTCTTTATTGAAACGAATACTGAGCTCTTGTTTGTATGCCTGATATCAGAGAAAGATATTTAGTTGTGGTGTTGCCGCTGTACGTGAGTCTACAGTGAACGCGCCTGGCAGCTCGTTCATCCACCTCTCCGAATGACCTCCCTCAGCGTCCGAGTTGAAAACGCAAGGAAGTGTGTAATTGCCAGCGGATGAGCACAGCAAAAGTGTCTGGTGGTGGTTCAAGGGCTTGGCGTTTCTGCCCACGGAGACGAAAACGAAACCGTTTGGGGATAGAGGTATTAGGCTTCGCTGTAGAACGATAATAATAATAATAATAATAATAATAATAATAATAATAATAATAATAATAATAATAATAATAATAATAATAATTGGACCAGTGTCCGAAAACCTCGATGCGATTGACAAGCCCTAGCTGAGGGCACCGGGAATTTCGACCACCTGGACTTCTTTGACATGCATCTGCACTTAAGTAATCGATAACTACCCGGTCATTCCTTTGTTCCTCTTCCTCCTCTTACACCTAAATACACGGGAATCACACATTTTCGCCAATGTTATTTTAAGACGATGTCAAAGAAACAAGACATGGTGCTGTGGGATTCACTGATGAATGTGGACTAAGTATCCAGAGGCACATGCGAGGAGCCCGTGGAGCAAGGACGCTCTAGTCATCCAATGGTTGAGAGCGAGGGGCCACCATGTCTTCTTCATACCTTTAGTCAGCCGGGCGTGTTCCTAACGTTACCTGTCCGTTTTTGGCCACACATGTTTCTTTCGCGTTTTCAAAGGTGAGGATACTATAGCAGCGAGCGTTGTGCCCTAAGGAGGGGATCATCAACAGGTCGTTGTGACAAACAGAGCATCGCTTTAATTCATGTCGGCATCATAATCTAGAAAACTGCACAGACACATGTAAGTGACCCAGTAATCTATTTCGCAACGTTGTGTGGGATTATATGATGAGAGTTAGCACACCACACTCTCGGTAGTCCGAGAGAGGCACCGCAGCCGTTGTCTGAGGGAGGTAGCCACGAGAGCCGCATGTAATACGTGACATGCAAAATGAAGTAATTAGCTGGTACATGAAACGCAAATGAAGCATATAGAGAATAAACATAAGGATGCATACTCACCTTCATTGATGTAGCTGTGACGAATCACCTTGCACGAGTGGCAGTCCCGGAAGGATATTGTGAGGTTTACGCTTGACCCGGGCTCTGAAACGGGGAGAATGGGAGCCTTATCCGCAATGCCATGAGGCTGTGCCTCGTGTCTGCTGTACAGGACTAAACGCAGTACACAACCCGAGAAAGGCTATATTTAACACTATATATTTCGCGCAAAGTTGCGCAAGTGGTTTTACTGGTTGCACGAAATGTTCCATGCCGTGAGCAAACACGAAAAAAATCTCTGTTTCGCTGCTGCGAGAGTCATTCCCAGCATTCGGGTTCATCTGTACATGGCACCGTCTCTCGGCGGCAGTAGCGGCGTCCTGCCATAACTGAATGAGATATGCGCAAAAAAAGCCGCACCTATTGAGAAAAGCTAGTTATCGAAAATGACTCTGGGATAAATACAGCAGAGGCCTAATGGGCGGACGAAATTACAAAGCACGTGCATTCCCAAAGCGTGTGGCTTCCCAGGCCAATCGAACACCGGGAAGCCGCATCGTTACTAGAGCGATGATGTAGTATTCATCATCATCATCATTATCATCATAATCAGCCTGACTACGTCCATTGCAGGACAAAGGCCTCTCCCATGTTCCGCCAGTTCACCCGGTAGCGGAACATGGGAGAGGCCTTTGTTCTGCAGTAGTATTTGTCCTTTGTCCTGATGTAGTATTAACAGAAGGTTAAATCAAGTCTCTGCTGCACGTATACAATAGAAGTCGTTTTTGCTAACGTGTGTTTTTCATCAGATATAATTTAGTTTCACCTATTTACAATTCAGCTGCGGCAGGCCACCGCTGTTGCTGACAAGAGATTGTACCCCGTGCAAATGTCCCCATATCCTGGTCACGTGGTCTGTTCAAGCTCTGGCACATTTGACAGTCTGTCACTTATATGACAGGTGAATATATATATTGTAATGGAGAGAAAAAGAGACAACACCCGATCCTGGGCCAGCTGTTCTTATTCTGACTTCGTTTTTCTCTTCTTTGCTCTAGCTACCCGCGCGCCAAAGCGCGAGCGTCTTTCTTGGTCATGACATTATGCGCCACTAACAATAGGAGAACAACAACAACAACACTCGGCCATGACTGCGCGCGCGCGGAGCTGACGGCAAAGTTTCTGGTGGGCGGGCTTGGCTGCATTCTGGTAGTCAGCCCGGATCATAATGCAACATGGAGCGACGGTCTGGGGGAAGCGTCTCTGGTGGACGGCACTGGCTGCCTCGAGCTGGTCGCTCTTTTGCACGCCACGATGTCCCTTGAAAAAGTGTTGAGGACTCAGGCGGCCGGCACTGGCTGCCCCGTTGCGGCCGACGCTCTCGGCCGCGATTTGGTCCTGGTATCTGCCAAAGGTAGATCTGGCGGTCGATATAGTGGCTGCATCTCGGAGGTCGGCCTTGGCCACGCTGAAACTGGGTGCCAGAGTCTTCCACAAGTCTATCGGTAGGTTGATACTGGCTGCAACGTTGTGGTCGGTCTCGGCCATGGAGAGACTCTCTGTGGGAAGCAGCTAAACATGCACCTGACATCGCGCTTCGGACGGGCCGCAAAATCAGCAGCAGACGTTGAACTCCGGACGAGGGTAGCCGAAAGAGTATCCCAAAAGACGCGCTGGGCACAAAAGACGCGCAATCACCGTAGGCGGTTCAAGCATAGGCGATGCTGGCGTCTCCACTTGCCTCAGTAAAGGTGATATTGGGGCTGGCTTCTTTAACTGAGCTGTTTGACGACTGGTATCAGCCGCTTCCACTGACATGATGACATCGCGTACCAGCGCGGGTACTGAGAGCAGTAGTGGCGTGTCGCACCTGCGTCTGACGTCATTCGTAGGACAGGCGGAGAAGCTTACTGCCACGCGGCTCGGGGGCTCCGAGGAACCTTCGAGGTGTTGCTCCACTTCAGCTTGTTGTGCGAATGAGGTTGCGTCGGTGAAGGGCAATGCAGCACAGTCAAGATGATTCTCTGCGGCTGTTTCGTTGGAGCAATGCCCTTCAAGAGGTCCGACTTCGGTAGCGGCCTCTGGCCGCAGCGAACTTGCTTCGGGTATCGACAAAGTGTCTAACTTCTCGTGTGGTAAGCTGCAGAGCACAGCTGCAGCCTCGAGGTGGAAAACCTCTGGAGGTTGCTCCTCGATACCGGCCAGGTTGGACGGAGTGGTGGTGTAGAGGTGGTAAGGATTACGTCTGAAAGCAGCTATGAGCTTGCAGCTCCACTCCGTTCATGACTGCAGCTTCCAGCCTTCATACCGGTGCCACGCCGCTGCACCTTCCCGAAGACGGTCTATGGCCACATACTATTTCTGATTTTCTGTCCAGGCCTGGCGCATTGCTATCGCGTTGACGGTTGCCACCCAACCGTCGGCGTCGTTCTGGACCCCGTGGAATTCGGGTAGTTCGCAGACGGCTGATGATTGTGAGGTGGCAGGTGGCAACGCAGAGACCAACGACGCGAAGCAGTCGAGCTCGTGTGAGAGCTCGATGAAAGAAGACCGAAGCTGCCTGCGTTGCTCCGGTGTGCTTGCCTCAAGGTCGTATGAGGCAGCTACATCCAACGCTGCGTTAATGCCACACAATGCTGGCAACATTGTAGGAGCTCGCTCCGCGATCAACGCTGTCAGTTCGTTAGTCTCGACGCGGACTAGCGCAATGGTACGCCGCAGGTCCACGGTGCTGTCGGGTATTAAGCCCGAAGAGTCAGTGATCGTGGTCTTTGAGTAAGTAGCAATTGCAGCACTCACCCCGGTGTGGTCGACGAGCAGAGAAGCCTGGACGGCGTTCCGTGGCGGCTCGTTTGTTGAAAGAGTGCAGCAACGGGAATATACGCCATGGGAAACGTGAGCGGCATTCGCAAGGGACAGGAGTCGGTGTGGATTCTTGCCGTGAAACGATGGCAGGGTTTCGGTCAGGTCATGTCCTAGAACCACAGGGGAGGCCTGGACGCCGTCCACAGGTGGTCTGAAGGGTGGCTGAAGCGGCGGGTGGGACCCCATCGCTAAGGAAGCGTGAATGGCGAGCCCCTCCGCCAAATTGCGGGCCCTCTGGACAGCCCGGATTTGGACCTCTCGGTCCGAGCTGGTAATTGCCGTCCTCCAGGCAGCTTCTGTGCTGAGAGGCTCGCCATCGCGCAGCGCCGCGCATTGCCAGAGCATGTGGGGTAACGTGCAACGTCTCTCTTCGCAATGAGGGCATTGCGGCTTTATGCTGTCGATAAACTTGCTGTACACTAAAGGCGACGGGTAAGTACCCGTTTGCAGCATTCTTAAAGTGACTGACTGGGCCCTAGAGAGTTGCGGGTGCGGGAGCGGAAAGCTACGCCTGGCCGAATAATAATTTTTGCAAATTTCGTTAAAGGTGAGGAGCGAATCAAGCTGCCGGATGCCATCCCCAAAATTAGATGCCGATTGCCCGTCACGGTGGGACAGTTCGCGTGCTTGGGCATGGGCAAGCTCATTGGCATTGGGGATAACAGGGTGGACATCCTTGCCCATGTGGGCAGGAAACCAGGTGATTTGGCCGTCGATCTCCATGCAATGTGGTCTTTTGGTAAGAAAATGGGCTGCCTGCTCACAGACTGACCCGGTCATGAACGCTCGTGCAGCAGCTCGAGAATCAGTGAAAATGCGCGTGCGCAAGGGAATCGCCACGGCCATTGCTATAGCAGCCTGCTCTGCCCTAGCCGGCGTGGTATCTCGAAGAGATGCTGCTGTGAGAATTTTACCGCGAAGGTCAGTGACCACAGCCACGAAATTGGATGTGCCGGGATACTGTGCTGCGTCAACGAACGCCACAAGTTCAGGGGTGGAGGCGGCAGAACTGAGGAGCAACCTAGCCCTAGCGGCCCGGTGGCCGACATTGTAGAGAGGGTGAACATTTCTAGGAATTTGTGAGACCGTAATCTGCTCCCTCAATTCGGGTGGAAGCTGTATCTTTTTGTCTGCTACCATAGTTGGTTCGCAGCCCAGAAACTCCAGGATGCGTCTCCCAGCTTTGGAAGAGGACAGTCGTGCAGCTTGTGCTGTTTGTTGCGCTTCTGCAATCTCACTAAATGTATTATGCATACCAAGAGCCCTGAGCTTTTCCTCATTTGTGTTGTTTGGAAGGCCCAAGACCCTCTTAATGCACTTTCGAATAATCGCATCCAGTTTCCCTTGTTCTTTCCTTTCCCACCTATGTGCTGCGGCAATGTAATTAATGTGACTCATAAGGAAGGCATGGAAAAGTCTCATGAGGTTGGCCTCACAAAGTCCTCCACGCCTGTTAGACACCCGAAGTATAAGCTTGACCATGCTCTCCGCCTTTGCCGCAATACGAGTCAGAGTATGAGAGTTACTTCCGTGCTCCTCCAGGAACATGCCTAATTTCCGAATTTTGTCGACACGGGGGATGGCCTGCCCTGACCGTGTGTGAATTTCGATCCTGATCTCTTCCGGCGGAAATGGAATAGTGGTGAACTTGCGTTTCTCCAGCTGTGTGTACAGGAGGAGCTCCGACTTGGCGGTCGACAAGTGCAGCCCCGTGCTATCCAAAAACTCCTCCGTGCACCTGAGGGCCTGCTGGAAGGACTCCTCAACTTCTCCATCCCTACCCACAGTGCACCATATAGTAATATCGTCCGCATACAGCGCATGTCCGATGCGGTCGATACGAGAGAGTTCGAGCGAGAGTTTCCTCATCGCGATATGAAAAATTAGTGGCGCAATGACCGATCCTTGAGGGGGTCCCCTAGGTCCAAGGTGAAATTTCTTGGAGCAGAGGTCCCCGAGCCGAATGGTGGCAACGCGATCCCTGAGAAAAGAGCGGACGAACCCGTAAAAGCGGGCCCCCAATCCCAACTCAGAGATCGAATCCAGTATGTGAGGATGTGAGATATTATCGAAAGCTTTCTCCAGATCGAGTGCAAGAATCCCTCGGACATCTCTGGTGTCTATGTCGAGAATTTGATGTTTAATCATTTTCATAACGTCCTGCGTAGAGAGCGCGGGACGAAAGCCAATGAGATTGAAAGGGAAGAGCTCGTTTTGTTCAATGTGATGGGAGATTCGGT